GGCATTGTTTTCCTTCAGCGCACTTTTTCTCAGGTCCTCTCCTGCTTTGGTCTAACAATAATGTGACTTTGCTTCACCTAGCGCAGGTGGGCCCATGTCTCAACGAAGTCGGAAGTGTGCACAGGCCCTGCATGACAGAGTTCTTTGCCATGTTTTCTTTGGGGTCCTTGCTATTTGATCAGTGTAAACTTGATCAATATCTACCCAGTAAGGCCAAATACCAGTCTAAGGAGAGCCAAATGATCCCGAGAAACACAGAGAGAGAGACTGGCAACATCGGTTGTGAAGCACCAGGCCGAGGAGATGGTTCCCTGGGTAAAGCACTTTGCCATACAAGGGCTAGGAGCTGAGTTCAGAACCCCAGAACCCACACAGAGCCAGCTGCCGGGTCTGTAATCTCAGCGCAGTTACAGAAAACTGGGAGGTCTAGACCAGAGGATGCCTTCATGCTCCTGAGTTCTGTCCTGGTTAGCAAGAGACCCTGTCTCAAACAAGATGGAAGTCAAGGACCAACACCCAAGGCTGTCCTCTGACCTCTGCGTATCACACACACACACACACACACACACACACACACACACACACACACTGGACTTTTCAATTGTATGAGCCCCAAACTTCCCTAATTTCAATTAAAGTAAGGCTCTTGGTCTATTAGTTAACTCCTTATTTTTCCAGGAACTTTGCCTTTCCCTCTTAAAACTATCTCTCTCCAGCCCATGCATGTGGATTTTTAATCTTAAAAAAGAAAAAACCCAACAACTTGTCTTTGATCCTATCACCCTTGTTGCCTGCTCATCCCCAGTCTCTACATCCACAGGCTAGTGCGGCAGGTGATGAAGTGTTCAGTTGTCTGTAGCAAGACCGTGATAAACAATAAACAATTTAAAATTCATTCAGGTTTTCCCTGCCTGTCTCTATGTGGTATGTATATGTTTCTGTGTGTGTTTACATGTGTGGACCCATGTGTATGCGCATAGGTGAGACAGCAAATGTGTGCACTTACATGTGGAGACCCGAAGTCAACATTAAGAGGCTTCCTCAACTGCCACCCACCTTATTCTTTGAAGCGGGATCTCGCGGTCAAACCTAGAGCTTGCCAATGTGGCTAGTCTTGCTGGCCAGCTTGGTCCTGTGTTTCCCCATCACCCACAGGTTGCCATACCCACGCCCACCAGGCACTTACGTGACTGCTGGAGATTTGAACTCCGGAACTCATGTTTGTGCAGTAAGTGCTTCCCTTGCTGAGCTGTCTCCCCAGCCCCACATTTAGATTAAAAAATATATATATATATTTGAATTACATTTCCTATGCTGCACATAGTGGTACATGTCAATAATCCCAGGACCTGTGAGACAGAGGCAGGAGGGTCTCTATGAGTTTGTGGCCAGCTTGGTCTGTATAGAGGGATCCTGTCTTAAACAAACAAACAAACAAATAACAAAAAATCAAACTATATTGTTTGTTTGTTTAGTGTGTGTTTGTGTGTGTGTGTGCATGCACACAAGCAATCTGTGGTTCAAGTGTGCAGGTCAGAGGACAACTTTCAGGAGTTTCTGGGACTGAGTTCAGGTTATCTGGCGTGGTGGCAAAAGCCTATACTAGCTGAGCCATTTATCAGTCCCTAGATTTTTTTTTTAAAGATTATTTTGTTTATTTTGCTGGGATAGAGTCTCACTATATGTAGCCCTACCTGGCCTGGAACTCACAAAAACATTGTGGATGTAAGTCTTTTATCAAACACCTTTGCAGGGATTCAGGTTGGACGCCATACCTGCCCAGCATTTACATGGATTCTGAGAATCTGAGGTCAGTTCCCCATACTTCTGTGGAAAGGATTTTATCTACTGAGCACTATCTCCAGCTCATATCAGTAAATCTTCATTTGACTAATGATGCTGATTTTTCAAAATTAAATATATTTAAGTCAAAGCATTTAAAACTAATTCCAAGATTTAGATTCCCTCTTTTTTAGAATTAGTATAATTTTAAAGCATAATAAGATGATGGTATTAGGACAGAAGTGTGTGTGTATGTTTGTGTGTGTGTGTGTGTGTGTGTGTGTGCTTGCGCGCGCGTGTTTTCTCCAGGAGACAGGCAGAAGTTTGCGTATAACAGACTCTCCTAAACAGCACTGTGGCAGGTTCTTCTCTTACTGGGTGAAGAAGGCTTCACCTTGGTCCTAGTCTTCTCCAAGGAAAATGTCCAGCCAAAAGATACCAACAGCCACAGCAGAACTTTATTTAGGAAAATGAAGCAAAGTAGTATGTATACTCTAGAGTGGGCTGGGAGAGGAGGTCTGTAGCGACACACTGGGTTTTGTATTATGGATTTTAAAGAACTTTTTGTGAATATTTAAGAGGTGGGTAGCATATTCACAGGGCTAAGCTGATCCTTTTCCCTCCCAAATCATGTTGGACCAGATTTCCTAGTTAAAGTAACTCTTCCCATGATCCTCTTGAAAAATCCACAACGGGTAGGACCGAGGGGCAAATCCCTTTAATTTCAGCACATGGGAAGCAGAAATAGGAGAGTCTCTGTGAGTTTGAGGCTAGCCTGGTTTACATAGTGAGTTCCAGGACAGCCAGAGCTACAAAAGAAAGGAAGGATAGGAGGAAGGAAGGAAGAAAGGAAGGAAGGAAGGAAGGAAGGAAGGAAGGAAGGAAGGAAGGAAGGAAGGAAGGAGAGACGGAAGGAAGGAAGAATGGATGGATGGATGGATGGATGGATGGATGGATGGATGGATGGATGGAAGGAAGGAAAGAAAAGAAAAAGGATAAGAAAGAAAAAGAAATGCCCTCAACGGGTAGAGGGTGGGGTACACAGAAAACACAATGAAGGTGATACTGTAGTGAAGCCAGGGCTTTCTGAGGCTACAGACCCTTTGCGAGTGTGCATGTACGGCAACTGAGAAAGTTTCATGGCGCCTTAGTTTCTGATATAATGGGAAGAACTTAAGAACAGCTTCAAGGAAGCTTAACCACAAAGAGGCCCCCTGACCACCAGATGACACAGCTACAGCTGCCAGGATACGGCTGCAGTTTCCTTGGTTACCCCATCACTAGCTCCATGCCCATCCATTCTCACTGCTAAGCACTCTTCTCATCTGGCTTGGACCGAGGACTTTGATGCTCTTACCTGGTCAGCCGGAATCACCTGGCTCTATCAATAACAAGAATCCTGCTGCGTGTTTGAAGAAAACACATGCTCTAATAATCCATTTTTAAGAATGGAGGCCGTCAAGATGGTTCTGCAGACAAAGCACCTGCCGCCACCCCTGTTGTTCAAGGCCTAGGACCCACCATGGTGGAAGGAGAAACTTATTAGTCCTCTGACCTCCACGTGCACACAGTGGCACACACACACACATATCATACACATACAAAATAGTAAATTTACAAAATACAATTTATTTTTTTCAGAATTCCATAAATTATGTTTTAACCATATTCATCCCTTACCCAACCTCTCCCAGATCCACCCCACATCTCCTCCCTCTCCAGCTTTGTGTCTTCATTGTCTTTTTTAACCATCAAGTCCGACTATGCTGCCTACATACGCTTGTGTGCCTATACATGCCTACATACGGTGTGACTACCCACCAGGGGCCACGCCCTCAAAGAAAAGTAGCTCTCCCTCTATTGGCAGCTGTGGATCACCAGTTGTGATCAGCAAGGACTGAGACTTCGTGCCCTTCCCCCTCCATGCTGAGATCTCATCCAGCTTGAGCTTTCCCAGGTCTTGTGCCCTCTCTCACACGGCTCTGAGTTCACGTGTGCAAATGCCCCATACAAAGAGTACATTTCTGAAAAAAGAAATGTCCTGTCAAGTCGATTTGGCCAGAGTTACCCCAACCCAGCCCGTTTTCATCTTAATAATGTCCCACCCATTGCGCCTCTTCCTTGTCACGAGGTCCCCATTTGTCCTTGTGGAATTCAGGATGGAGCCCAGCTCTGACCTGAGGCCACTTCTGACTAAAACCTGTTTTTACCGCATCACTGTCTAGCTCTGATCTTCCTTTGATACATGCGGGAAGGTTTTTGGGATCACCAGCAGGAACAATAAGTACTCCATGAGTTCCAGTGACCTGACTGGCAGAGAAAGACGTTGGATTACGATGTAAATACAGCAGGGGTCTTGGCTGATCCTGTAGGGAATTCTAGGGCTGGATTGGTCCTTCCGAGTTGCCCTGAATACAGCCAGGGTCTGGGCCTCTGGTCTCTCAACCTCTCCCTCATTAGATGAGATCATGTGGGGAGCTTCTATCAAATGTGCTGGAGGAATATTTGAAGTGTAGTAATTCTCAGGGAACCTGAGGCAATCCTTCTACAAAGACAAAACAAAACAAAAATGAATTAGTCATTTATGAAACCCTTTCTGTGGTTCTGTGACCTCTGCTACCTGACAGCCCTGTATCCTGGCAACAGTCTCTGGGCTTTCTGCCTACTTTGCATCATTTCCCCCAGGGTAAGAGCATCACTTTTAATGGGCTCCACTGTTTCCTACCCTCATGAAAAAAAGAACAGGTTTGTTTGTTTGCAAATGGACCCTCTTCCCAGGTAGCAGTTCCTAGGGACAAAGACCTCCATGCCCATTAGGAAACTCAAGGGGATATGGATGAAAATGTGGATGAGAACTTTCTATGTGCGTGCATGCGTGCGTGCGTGCGTGCGTGCGTGTGTGTGTGTGTGTGTGTGTGTGTGTGTGTGTTTGAGCCAGGGACTCCTGTTGCCCAAGCTGGCCTTGAACTGGTCCCTTCTGCCTCCACCCTTGCAAGGGCTGAGATGACAGGTATGGTCCACCATGCTTGGATTCTAAGTGCTTAAAAACAAACAAAATTTTTACAGCTAAAAATGTTTTATGATATTTATTTGCATGTGTTTGTGTGCACGCACACCATAGTTAATGTATAAAGATCAGAGGACAATTTGTGGAGTTGTTCTCCTACCTATATGTAGATTATGTAGATCCCAAGGATCTAACTCAGGTCATCTGGTTTGCATGGCAAAGGGCTTTTATCCTGTAAGCCATCTCTCCAGCTCTCCAAAAACTCTTTACAGTATACAGAAAATGACGTTTGGGTGGCCCCAGTCCACGTACTTGGGGATCATGTCAACTGAATCTGAAAAGCAGACCAAGAAAAGAAAAGCCCTAAGCAAATGCCACATCCCCGATCTTTGCCCGCCTTTAGAAGTGTAAATGCATTTACTTTCTGGGGTTCTGTTTTTTGAGACAGGATCTCACTATGTAGTTAGTCTTGGCTGGCCTGGAACTTGCCATGTAAACCAGGCTGGCCTCAAACTCCCATAGATCTTCCTGCCTCTGTCCTCCAAGTGCTGGGATTAAAGGCCTGTGCCACCATGCCCAGGTCTATTTCTCTTTTAAAATAGGCACTGCCTAATCTGGCATTTTGTTGTATCATCACAAAATATATTATGACAATAGGCTTAGACCAATTATGACTTGTGCTCTTGCCTTGAATAACTCTACCATCTAAATGAAACCCAAAGTTTTGTCAGGAAGGAGGGCTAAGGGATGGCTGTCTACAGTGGGCGCTTCAGCCTATAAAGGCTCTTAGGAGTGGGTCTCCTCCACCTCTGTTAGCTTACGGTCAGCCACTTTATGTTACCCTCTTCTCTAATCTGACGGAAGCAACCAAGTTTCCTCCATGACTTAGCAGTTACCATCCCTACCACCCAGAATGTCCCCTTCCCCTTGCTCACCCCACAGCTCCCGTCCTTCTTGGACTTCGAGCTTTGTGAAACCTTCCCTAATCCCCTCAGTGCAATCTGGGCCAGTCACCTTTGACCTGTCCTGGCAGTACCTTGTAGTTAGTGGTTCAATAAATGCTGACTGACTGAAAAACACTGACTGACTGAAAAACACTGATTGGATGCCTCTCTTCTCCATTCGGGCACGCTGTCTTCGAGCCCTCAGATCTGTGTCACTACCCACACCATAAAACCATCTCTTTCTTCATAGAGCCATTTCTAAGAGTCCCTTAGTACATAACATCTTTTTAAATAGTGGGATTGAGTTGCTAATGAATTTGAGCCAGAAGCTGTTTTATAAGGTATGATGTAGTTACGTGCAAGCTCAAAAACCCTAATTTGATATTTAATCTCATAATATCCTGTCCCATGGTCTCTATGATAAATAATTCTCTTTTGCTTCTGGGCATTTTGCATACATTTTCTTGCTGTCAGTTGATCATGTGTGCGGTACAGTGATAGGGACACTCAGAAATGCTAATTTGTGTTAGGCTAATACTAGTTGGGGTATGTGTACAGAAAATTATTCAAATAGAAGCAGCGGGATAGAGGAAAGGGATAAAAGAATATTAAGTAGAAGATAAAATGTAGAAGCAATTTACCCCAGAGCAGGGGAAGCAAACACAGAATCATCTCAGGTAGAGCAGGTATTTAGACGTAGACTTAAAGAACGTTAATCTACAAAAAGCCTACACCCTCTCTGATTCATTCTAAATGCTGGTAAAAAAAAGAAAAAAAATCCATTTCTCTAACTTGCCAGGCTTAGCAAATGGCATCCCACCTTAGAGCGATGGGCCCTGGTCTGACTGGCAATGACTCAGAGCCCTTTGAGGGGAAACAGGTGGTGGGGATCTCTGGCTCTCTGCTGCCTGACAGATGTCAGCAAGCACCCCAAAAGGAACAGAAAATGTCTATGCAACAAGGACTGTGACTCAAGGGTGGAAACTACTCACATCTACAGAGTGAGGCTTTAGCAGACGGCAGAATGTGGCACGCATCATAAGAAAGCAAAACAGAAAAAAAAAAGGCTATAGTGAAAAAAGAAGAGATGCGAGAAAGGAAAAGAGGGAGAGAAGGAAGACACTGCATTCTGCAGAGTTCAATGGAGTCTGAAGTTGCTTACACTATGGCTTCTAGGAGGCCCCGCCTCATTTCTTTGAAATATGACTCAGACCCTTACCCAGGAGCAATATGTCCTTGTTCTGACAGAACTTTAAAATATTTACTCTGTACTCAGTTCAGGCAAATTCTCCGTTCTTCGTCTTGGGCATCTGCTTTGTGGAACAGAGGCAACTGCCTTGCGCACATCGGAGAGAAAAGATGTCGTCTTCTAGTGCAGGTAGCCTTTTCTCCACTCCACCCCGGGGGCTGTTAGCACTCCCTTGGGTGGCCACTTCCTTGTGGTCCGTGGTTGCCTTAGAACTGCAGCTAAGGACAAGATCTGGAGCTGCCTGGGCAGAGGAGGATCGAGTAACAGGATGTGCGTGTTTCACAAAGGTCTGCAGGGCTGTTTTAGCCAAGGATCCTTCTCTATGTTCAAAAATATTACACCCCTCTCAGGATATCAGATCAGGACTTCTGAAGATGCCTGATTCAGTCAAAGCAAACCTGCAAGGAAATTGTTGGGTTTCCAGCCTTGTGGTCTCTGGGTGTGACAAGGTCCCTCTCTAATTCTCAATGGACTCTGTTATCATCAGAGGCTGCCATCAAAATCTGCCTTCAGGAATGGAATTAATAATGAACTCATCCACACAGATGCTGTGGCAAAAGAAGAAACTCACCTCTAAAGCTCTTAAAGGGAGTTGTGATTATTTTGCCCATCTAAGACAATGAGTACTGGCAGGGGGTGGGGTGGGGGTAGGAAGTGAGAGGAGAAGGGAAGGGGAGAGAAGAAAGGAGACAAGGAAAGGAGAGGAGAGGAGGGGAGAGGAGGAGAGAAGGTTTTGGGGGACAGGAAAAGTCTTCTTAGGATCTAAGATTTTGTACGTCATAGCATTCAACTTACCACAAAGAGTGGTACTTTACCAGGCTTGGAAAAGGTTGGCTGCTCTTCAAATAAACTGTTTTCTGGACTGAGCTATTAGAAGCACAATCAAACCTGCCTTTATTGAGCACTTACTGTATGCCAAGCACTATATGAGCCCTTCTTTTCTTTTCTCTTCACATCTGTGTAGACACCACTCAGCATTCTCTTGTCTGGTCTGCATTGAATGGACCCCACTGGAAAGAGCACTTATTGGCTAACAGCAAACTGGGAGGTCCAGGCATAGGGATGGCTCCCAATGGTGGGACTTAAACAACATCCCCAGAACTTTGTATCCCACCATCTCATGACTGGGAGCTATCTTTCTTCCTGTGTGGGCTTTGTCCTCAGATTCCCTGTAGGGACACGTGGCTGGCTAGCCAACTTGTTCCCCAGAGTCTGCATTTCAGTAGAAAACAGAGAGCAGCATTCAAGACCTCGGCTTCCTCTTGAGTGCTCAGAAGACTTCTAATCAAAAACTGTCATGGGCCCAGCTCTGAACTGCCCGAGGGCCAGGGGGTTTCAGGATTTGTCTTGTTGTGCTTCACGTCCCCAGACTGAGGTGACTGAGCCGCAGCCAGACCAGGGGATAGAGACGAAGGGAGGAGACCCCTCCAATGGCATTGTAGACACAGGCAGTAAGAAATGTGCATGGCCCCTCTGCATGTTAGGCTGAGCTTGACAGGGAAAATACTGGCTTGGGAGTTTGCATAACGCACCAAAGGTTAGTACCAGAAATTGTCAGGACAGAGACCGGAATCCTATTTATTATATTTAGCAACCTATACCTGTTGCTCCATTTATTCAGAGGAAATCTGTTTGATCTTTAAGTAAAAACAAAATACATCATTAGAGTAAATGAATCAAACTTTCCACAATGAAAATCTTCCCTAACTTGTCCTGCGAATGTGTCCCAGGAGGCCGGCTAGAAGAAACCCTCTAAGGAGACACAATTGTCTTTCCAGTAGTCACTGGCCAAGTTATACTGCCAAGGGAGAGAGCAAATGGATGTTCCTGAAGATACAGGGAGTGCTTTTAAATTCATCCCTGGGACAGTTTGAACCAAACGCTACAGGCTTTTTTTTTTTTTTTTAAAGCAATACATTAGCTGAATTCTTGATGCAAATTCTCAGACACTTCATATGGACTCAGCCGCCTCCTGGAAGGACTTTGAAACAGTCATTTAGAGATTTAGTCACTGTTGAGTTTGTTCTGAAATCTTAATCACAAGCATCTATAAAGCCAGTTATTGATGACCTTATGATATTGATTTGTACTGATCAAGACAGAGGAAAGCCATGGTCTAGAAGAGTTCGTAGTGGCTGTTAAATAACTGTGTGATCAGACAAACCATCTATCCTTATGGATTCTTGTATTCTTCAAGTATTAAAAATATTTAATTTAGTTTTAGGTGTATGGGTGTTTTGCCTGCATGTATGTCTGTGCACCGTGCAAGTGTCTGGTATCCTCAGAGACCAGAAGAGAGTGTAAGACCTCCTGGAACTGGAGTCACAGACAGTTGTGAGCTGCTGTGTGGGTACTGGGAATTGAACCTGGGTCCTCTAGAAGAGCAGCCAATGCTCTTAATGGTTAAGTCATCTCTCCGGCCCCTAAAAGTAATTATTTTTGAGATGAAGTTTCATGTATCCCAAGCTGGCCGATCTCTAATTCACCCTGCAGCTGATGACCTCGAACACTGATCCTCCTGCCTCCATCTCCTGAATGCTGGGATTATAGGCCATGGGGCTGGTTTATTCATGTGTAAAATCTCTAAGATTATGTTCTCTGTAGATCTTGTGAAATACAGTTGATGTGTTTACAAACCTTTTGTTAAAGCATTATATATATATATATATATATGATGTTTATAATCTTCCCAGTCCAGGAATCTGAGAAGTCCCCAACTGACTTTTCGTTTTCACAGGGCACCAAGAGGCAGCTCTATAACAAACTGAGTCAGAACAAAAGTCATCATCAGTGGCTGATTCTGACTAGGTAAAAACTGTCTAATAAGGAAATAGTTAATGGCCTGTTACCAAACCAAAGAAATAAAATACAGCAAAAGAACACTAACATTTTATTAGCTTGAAATTCAAAACGGAAGTGTGTGTCATACAGGTGTGACAAGAATTTCTAAGCAAAATAATCACCCAAACGTTGTATGGTCCTACTTTCTCAACAAAGGGGGCTTTGGCTTTTTGGTTTGTTTGTTTTGTTTTTCACCTCATGCAAGGCATACCATGGGGTTCTCAGCACTTCATGGCCAGCACCCCAAGTCTGATCAAATTGTCTCTCTGGGCAGCAGTCTCAGGAGAAAGAACACTTTAA